AAAAGCACGGTAGAATTCAAACAGGAAGTAAAGTACTCTCAGCTTAGGACGGTACAAAAATGGGTCAAAATAAAAGCCTAATAATTTGTATTTGTAAGTGCGAAATAATGTGATTTAAAAACGTGATTAAGATTTGAATTGAGAATAATTATGACCGTACAAAGACGCGATGACGGCTGAGCGTAGTTACAGCACTGATCTGTTTCCAGTCTTTGTGCTGCGCTAAGCTAAAGCATGCTAACAGACACGAGAGAGGTGAAGAAAGCGGTTGTCAACATGTCAAATAATTCCCTTTTATGTCAACACTGTGCAAACGTTTCCTGTTTGAGTCACTGTTACGAGGAGAAACAGAAAACCTTCCAGCTGAACACTTCCTGTTCTCAAAGGATGAAACCTCAGAGATCTTTAAATAATCGTACGCTGGTGGTTAGTCTATTAGCACAAGAACGGAGGAAGATAAAGTTTAAGTTTCTGACGTGTTGTGGTCGGTAAAGGAAGCCTCATCTTCGTATCACAGACATTTGGCCTGAGTCCTGCAGGATAAAGTGCGTTTATAATGGAAGTATGCGCTCATCGGAGGAAAACTCCTGATTGTTTATGCATCACATGTTGTGTCCATTTCATGACCGTGATCACAACAATGAAAAGTAAGATTAGTTAAATTAAAAAAGGCCACTTTCCATGACAGTAGGAGGAGATCAGATCAGCTCTAGATGTGGTCAGGGACCGTCTCCAACGCCTCCGCCGGTTCTCTGTCGACATCCACGTTCTGAAAAAGAGAAAAAGACCGTATCAGACCCGATTGTCACTATTTAAAGAGGACATATGATCCCCCTTCTCCACCTTTTCAAACAGTCCTCCTCCTCCACCTTTTCTAACAGTCCCCCTCCTCCACCTTTTCAAACAGTCCCCTCCTCCACCTTTTCAAACAGTCCCCTCCTCCACCTTTTCAAACAGTCCTCCTCCACCTTTTCAAACAGTCCCCTCCTCCACCTTTTCAAACAGTCCCCCTCCTCCACCTTTTCAAACAGTCCCCCTCCTCCACCTTTTCTAACAGTCCCCCTCCACCTTTTCAAACAGTCCCCCTCCTCCACCTTTTCAAACAGTCCCCCTCCTCCACCTTTTCAAACAGTCCCCCTCCTCCACCTTTTCTAACAGTCCTCCTCCACCTTTTCAAACAGTCCCCCTCCTCCACCTTTTCAAACAGTCCCCCTCCTCCACCTTTTCAAACAGTCCCCCTCCTCCACCTTTTCTAACAGTCCCCCTCCTCCACCTTTTCAAACAGTCCCCCTCCTCCACCTTTTCAAACAGTCCTCCTCCTCCACCTTTTCTAACAGTCCCCTGTGGTCTGAATGAAACATCTGTGTTGTGCTTTGGTCAAAATATAACATAACCAGCTCTCTCAGAACGCTCCGTTTTGGTGTGTGTGTCTCTTTAAATGTAATGAGCCCCGCCCCCTGAGTTTTCCCCGTAGACATCACTCCTCTGTAGAAAGAATACAAATGACCGACCTGCTCTAAAGTTTTGTTCTAGTCTGGGGGTGGAGTCCATGGGTGGAGATATCAGGGGAGGGGAGGGGATTTTATTTTTACCAGAATCCCACTGTGACATCACAACGAGAGCACATTAGAAACAGAGCATTTTTCTCTGTGTTGTAAGACTTATGCAGACCACAAACAAAGGACTGGATGGGTTTATTTCACATGTTGTGGGTCAGTAGACTCTCAGGTTACACACATATATGTTCACAAACACTGTAGAAATTTTTCATAATATGTCCCCTTTAAGAATTATTATTTTGAGAGAGAGGAAACACTGGGAGGAAAGAGAGGGACATGCAGCCATCCAAAACCCCCACTATTTAAAATAGTTTTTATTTACCTCTGGTTTGTCTCTGTGCGTGTTGACGGCTTCGATGTTGAGGAAGACGGACTCCACTTTACAACCTGAGAGACAAACACAAACCGCAGAGAGAGAGAGGCTGTGATTTATAAATATAAGAGAGAAAGGAAAACTTCAAGTCAAGAAGAAGAATCAACTGGAGGTAGAGTCCAGCTGTGAGACTGACCGTAGGCGACGGGCGTGAGTTTCAGGACTGTGTGGAGAGGACACTTCAGGTAGGGCAGCTCATCTGACAAACAGAGAGAGAGAGAGAATAAAAAACAACGTTATCATAATATACAGATGTTTACTTATGCTAGATGGACTTGAACTTGTATATTTATTTTCTAGTCTTCGTTTGTATCCCTTACTTCGATATCGGTCCCAAAAATCCCTTATTGGTCTGGACCTGAATAACTGAATAAATATAGTTTTTTATTTCAACACTTGTCTGTCATACATTTGATGGGAACTTTTCTTGCCTGGTTTATGCCAAGGGACGTGGGACGTGGAAATAAGGGTGCTGAGCAGACCCCTAAAAGCAGGCACAATTAAAACCAACAGCTTATAAGTGCCGCCGCACAGAACAACTTCTCTCTGCACCTCAGACTGACTTCCAGCGTCCCGTTAAACGAAGAGGGATGTTTTGTTTGTTATTGTGAATATACATTTCGTTTGTTTGCACTCACTTGCACTTTTGTCCAGGAAGTATGCCAGCAGACACCTCATGACAGCCTGGTGACAGATGACCAAAACGTTCTCCTGCCTCTCCAGCTCCATGATGACTGGCTCCAGACGCTGCACCAGGTCCTCGTATGACTGGTGGAGACAGAGACAGACCATGAAGGTGCAGTGTGTTATTATGGTAACATATATTAAATATAACTTCAGAAAACACAAGAAACTACTGTTAGAATTTAAATGTAAAGGATGTTTTGGTTTAGATCTTATGCAAAGATGCCTTTACTAAAAAAACTAAAGCATATGCAGTTTGTGTTTTGGTGAAAGTTTCAAACTGAATGGATGCGTTCACAAGTTTAAAGGAGCAGTATGTAACTCTGACCCCTAGTGTTTAAAATGGGTACTGCAGTCTGAATCAAAAACATCATAGAGTGCTGCCCCCCCCCCCCCTCCCTCTAGAGTGGATGCTCTCTCAGGTCACCATGTGGTGGACTCTGAAGCTTCAGTGTTTATCCAGCTCTGCATGGGTCTGTAAACCTTTCTGTGTTCTAACCTCTCTCCATTTTTCAAAAGCATCTCCAATATTGATCCTAGTTTGAGCACGTTTCTGCTCGTGGAGCTTATTAGAAACATGCAGAGGCTTTTTAGGTCGGGTACAATCACTTCTATCTGAACCACTTCTCTTGACCGCTTCCATCACTGCAACACCTGTTGACCTGATAACTGCTCTCATATCTGACAAACCGAGGGGTGTCCAAAACGGCCGTGTGGGGGTGTCTTAAAACTGCCTACCTTCTCTGGTCCAAACAAATCCAGAGCATTCAGGAGCAGAATCTAAAGTTAGAAGGAGGACATACTGGCTGCTGCATTGTTGTCAGAGAAGCCAGCACTTCAACATAGCATGTTTCCTTAATGATCAGAGAGTAAGATACCTTTATCATCTCACTCTCCACACATCTCACTGATTGGTACTTTAAGAAGAATGAGGAACATAGAAGAGTTGAAGATCAACATTTTAAAACCCCTCTCCCCCTCTCCCCCTCTCACCTCTCCTCGGGGGTAGCGATAGCGATATTTGTCTTGGTCTCTCAGTGCGAACTCCTCTGGGTAATGCTCCTGGATCTCCTCGTACGTCATGTCCTCGCAAACCCCCTGAGACGACAACAACACACATAGAGTCTCAAACAAACAGATCTCTTGTGTCTCTTACACAAACCTTTCTCAGGCTCTCGTTTACAGCAACGCGGAGAGAATTATATTCACACAAACGTCAGCTTTTTAAAACAAGAAAGCAAAGAAATTAAGCGCAGGTTTATAACTGAAAATCAGCAAAATTAGTCCCTAAACATAATTTAAAAAATGATTACTTTCTCAGTCTCCGAAAATGACCAAATGAATCTGTTGGTAAACTAGTCTCTTCACATTATTTAAAAAATAATGAAAAATCTAATAATTGAGACCCTGCAGATAACTTCTAACTAGCATGGACAGAATAAAACCGTTATGTTTGTCTGATACAAAGAAAAGATTTAAAGGTCACATATTATATTAAATCCTCTTCACCATGTTCCTCTAACTCTAACATGTGTCTCTAGTCTGTCTACAAACCCCCCAATTATAAGAAAAGTCCATGCTCTCTGTCTTCTGCCTGCTCCTCTTTTCAGAAAATGTGTGCTCAAACAGGCCGTTTGGAGATTTTCCCTTCATGACATCACAAAGGGCAGTAGCCCCTCCCCCAGGTGGGTGACACTCCCACAGCCAGGTGTTTGTTCTGCCCTCTGAGTCTGCCTTCTCACCGTAAACAATAGGACATGGAGTGAGAAAGACCGAGTACACCAAAGCCCTTCCAGAGAGGGGGCGTGGTCAGACACAGCTCATTTACATATTTAAAGGTACAGACACAGAAACAGTCTGTTCTGAGCAGGGCTGAAATAGAGGGTTTTATAGACATGATCAAATACAGAATCAGAGTGGATTTAGAACAAGAAACTTCACACACATGTTTTGAGGAGCTCTGAGACTTATTTACACTGAAGAAGAGGAGGAGGATATGAGACCTTTAAGAAGAAATATTATGTCAGAAAAATGTTAACTATGCTTTGCCTGGATTTAAAATATTTGATCTAACTTAGACGTCACTCTTTGCAGAGTGAATGTTGGAAACACATTGACGGCACTCACAGCGTCGATCTCGTTGAGAGCTTTCCACTGCTCGTACTGAACTCCCAGACCCTCTGCGGTCTGGATGGTCCTCTTCATGTGACTCGTCCACACCTTCAGGTCACTGATACACTGACCACGCATGTACGTACCCAGAGCACTGGCAAACTGACACACACACACACACACACACACACATACACACACACACACACACACACACACACACACACACACACACACACACACATTAATATATATGCTATATTCAGTACCAAACACAAACACACACACACACAGATCTAACGGTCCTCACCTGAGCCCCTCGAGGCGACAGCCCAGAGTCCCCCCCAATGCGACCCACGAGGTTGAGCTCGCTCTCTCCGTGACGACACAGGTAGATGGACCTCGGGGTGACGTGGATGTTCATGAGGTAGTACACTATCCGGCTCTGGATGTGGTCCTGGACCCGGTTCACCAAATACCTGCTGCCCACGTTGAAGATCTTGATGTAGGACAAGTTCCTGCATCAAGACAAGAAGAAGGATGGAGATTATTTTCTACGTTTCTTTTATTTTTTTATTTATATACAGATGTGTGGGTGAAAATGTTTAACAATGCTTGATTTACCTTCAGTTTGAGACGCAAACAGAAGTAAATATCTCTTTGCAGTGTTTAAATAAGGAGCAGTATGTAACTCTGACCCCTAGTGTTTAAAATGGGTACTGCAGTCTAAATTCTAAACACCATAGAGAGCTGTCTCCCCCCTTCCCCCTCCTCTCTAGAGTGGATGCTCACTCAGGTCACCATGTGGTGGACTCTGAAGCTTCAGTGTTTATCCAGCTCTGCATGGGTCTGTAAACCTTTCTGTGTTCTAACCTCTCTCCATTTTTCAAAAGCATCTCCAATATTGATCCTAGTTTGAGCACGTTTCTGCTCGTGGAGCTTATTAGAAACATGCAGAGGCTTTTTAGGTCGGGTACAATCACTTCTATCTGAACCACTTCTCTCGACCGCTTCCATCGCTGCAACACCTGTTGACCTGATAACTGCTCTCATATCTGGCAAACAGAGGGGTGTCCAAAACGGCCGTGTGGGGGTGTCTTAAAAGCGCCTACCTTCTCTGGTCCAAACAAATCCAGAGCATTCAGGAGCAGAATCTAAAGTTAGAAGGAGGACATACTGGCTGCTGCATTGTTGTCAGAGAAGCCAGCACTTCAACATAGCATGTTTCCTTAATGATCAGATAGTAAGATACCTTTATCATCTCACTCTCTACACAGCTCACTGATTGGACCTTTAACTCAGGGAAACCACATAGTGACTGGTTTAATATAAAAAAATCACAGAGATGAATGCATCAAAATTTACTGATAATTAAAGTTTATGCTCGTCTTCTTTTACGATCAAACACACGTCCTTTAAAATCTTTATGCCTCACTTCTCTTCACATTGATACTGACTGTTGTTAAATCCCGAGCTGCCAATCATCCACTTTGCTTTGTCACATAAACTCTGGGCTGAAGTCCACATTCCTGATTCTGTCACCTGTCTTTGTTGTCGTCCAGCGGGACGTACGTCTGCTTGTAACACTCGATCCTCTTCAGGAAGTCGGCCACCGCCTCCTCTTTGTCACAGCCTACGTAGTCCGGACTGCTCAGCTTCACTTGCTGTGAGGAGACAGACACGGTTTGAGTGGAACATTAAACGACGGTAGACCTCATTCAAGAACATTTCACCCCAGGTTTATTCTCATAGCAGCTAAAATATGCTTTAAAGCAAACCTTCCAACGGTATGAACGCCAACCATTGTCCCTGCTGTCTGTTCCACTCAGACAGTCAGAAACTCTAACAGACGATCGATATGCATCCCAAAAAGTGAAGTAGTAGCAAATGATGTGTGTCTCAGCCCCAATGAGGAAGGAAAGAGAGTGAGAGAGAGAAAGAAAAAGGGCCCGTGTCCAGTCCAATCACTCAGTTTTTTGCGCTGGCAGCGCTCTGTTTCAATACCAAACCGATGTAGTTCAGTTTCCTGACTCTGACTTTAAAAGTTGATTGTTGTTCTCTAATTTGACCAGCCTTTGTTGCATTTGAATGCAGCACAGTCTACAAAATAGCACCCTCACTGTGACCCTGCCTGAGAGGAACTAACTCTCCATAGCAGCAAGAAGTGCTGCTTGTGTGTTTCATCATTCAAAATAGGAACACAGGAAGTTTTAGGGACTGTAGATATAGAATAGAATAGAATAGATGCTTATTGCCATTTGCACAGGTATATATAAGAGTAATCCTGTCTCTCATCACCGGCTGAGTCGGAGCTAACAAACGGGTACGTCCACATCATGGAGCTTCCTTCTGAAAGATAGTCACTAACACTGATGTTTTTAAGATAAATCCACCTCCCATCATGCACCAGCCTTAAAACACCCACACTTTTAAAATCGTTGCTCCACCCCATGTAGATATAAAACTATCTATAAAACCCAAAAAGCTTTATTGGAGCAGCTAAAGAGAAGCTGAAGACACTCGTCTTTTTAAAGCAACACATCATCTGAAAGAGCCATGACGACTGCACATACAACAAACAGAAAAATATGAATTATATTTCTGCTTTAAACTGAACTGACCAAGAAAAAAAAGGAAGAGAAACTAAAATGTGGAGACCAGCAGGAGATCCGGTCTCCGTATGTTCAATCTGGCTCGAGTTGAAAACGAAGGACGCCAGGAAACACGAGACCTGGCAGCGTCTCTGAGAGGCTCCGTGTGTCCGGGTCAGCCTGCTCCTCCAATAACAAACAAACGCGGAGAACACACACTGAGCGTCGGCGTCAAACTGCCGCTGGCTCTTGTGGCGATCTCTGAACTAACACACACTTGTGTTACCTTAATGTTCTCAGCGATGATTTCAGGGTCGTCACAGATCGACTCCACGAAGAAAACCTGGACATTTGAGAAAGAGAGAGAGAGAGATGTTGTTGTTGCAGAAATATAAAATAAATATTGGTTTTCATGTGAAACACGGCAAAAGATCAACAAACCTTGTAGCCGTTTTCCTTTGCAAAGCTGGTGATGACGTCTCTGCGCTCCGTTGTCGTGTTGGTGGCATCGAAAACCTGAAAAATAAAACCAAGGACTTTATGGACTGACTCTCTTTGACTTAAAAAAAAATAAAGCAGCAAAAATCGGACTTCAGAACCCAAAATGGTTAAATCAACAACATGTAGGACTTTGGTTTTGTGCATTTTGGCCCCACCCAAAGGTGTCTTAGTGCAACTGCAGTCATAAGTTCTTGTTTTTACCATAGACTGTAAATTAGGGCCAGACCGATGTGAGATTTCTGGGGCCAATACTGATAGTTGGGAGGGGAATAAATCCTATACCGATATATCGGCCAATATCTTTCTTAAATCTGTGTCATCTCTGTAAAGATAAATATAGATATACACATCTAATGCATTGTTCCCCATAAATGCAGTAACTGCGCATGTAAGTGCATCAATGCTTGACACTCCGGAGAGTGATAATATTTGTTGTAATCCATATAGCGCCCCCTGCTGGTGAAAGTTAAGTGCTAGTGTAACACAATGATACTGAAATGAAATGATATTTGACTGGTGAACACATATCTGAGATAAAATTAGCCGATACAGATAGTCACCTGTTAAGCTATTAGTCGGTCGGGCTCTACTGTAAATCTTAATGTTTGAAGCCTGAGTGACGTCTCCCGTCTGTTCCTGCAGGGGGCGCTGGAGTCCCATCGATGGCGGTCTCCATGCTGGAAATGCTGTCTCAGTCTAACTTTGACAGGCTGAGAGCTGGAGTTGATAAAATGCCCCTCCCCCGTAGAGCGTGTGCCCATATGGGAACCAATATTATTTTCTGAACCAGGCTTTAAACATGTTAATTTCTCTGTTGATGTTTGATTTCACTCACCACGACCTGGCCGAGCATTCTGGTGAAGTAGTCGCACACATCTTTCAGAGCGGCGACAGCGCAGGCCCTGAGCACACACACACACAACACAGACTTTCACTCTCACTACAAACACATTGTTATGCCCTATATTCCAAAGAGAGGACACATTTAAAGTCACAGGCTGTTTGGCAGAGAGACTGGGTTCATACTTGCGTATGGTCATGGCCTCTGTGTTGTCGGGGCTGAAGAACTCGAAGCTGTTGTACGCACGTGTCGCATCTCTTCTGTACTGACCCACGTTGAACACTGCAGAGCACATGAAGGGGAGCGTGGTGTAAATAATTAAACGTATGGGAGCAAATAACAGAAGTGGACAGGGAGGGATTAAGCATAAATAATACACGTTTATGTACAGTGTCATTGTGCGATGCTACATGAGATTAGTGCGATGACAGACATAAACAAACTAGCGCTGGTGCTAACGATGCTAACTGGACTTTTGCCATGCTAACACACACACACACACACACAGTTACTCTCCCACTATGTCGACGAGCAGAGACGCCCGATTGGACGACCAAGGTCACTGCTGCTTCAGACAACACTCCAACCACACACGTTTTTTTGTGGACAAAGATGTTTTTGAGAACTGAGCGTGTGTGGACGGGATTATTTTTTTAAAGTCTTAATATGTGATTTTTCACACTTAAATATATAAATCAAGTATCTCCTCTGAAAATAACTCTGTGAGTCATGACTGTCTACAATGGGTGTAACACCCGAGTCCCACTGTCTGTGATGTTTTCAGAGTTTTCAGAGTCCTATCTTCACTTTGTTTACATCGCCAGGACGGCCGGCTGACTCCTCCCCTCGTGTATAAAAGTTGTTTAATTGAGGGACTAGAGAAAAGAAGAATAACATACTGTACTCACTGCTTAACTGTGTTTCTAGATCACGCTCATTTCAGGTACATTTACATGCAGTGTGAAGATACCAGCATAATAAAGATCGCTAGCATGAGCATGCTAACACAACAATGCAGCACCAGTTGTTTTGGTTTCATGCTGGAGCTCAAGGGCGACATCTGCTGGATCAAAAAAGTCGCATATAAAGCCTTTAAGCGGAGGAGGAAATCCTTTTTAAAAAAAAGAATACCAGCCTACATGCGGACCGGGCCTCAGTGGAGTCAGAGTTCCACTGTAACACTTAACCGTCATGGTGTGGTACCTTTGGTGGTGACGCCGATCCAGTTCAGGTATCTGGTGAGCTTTTTAGAGATGTAGGTCTTTCCTCTCGCTGGGAGTCCCACCATCACGATCATGGTCGGGGAGTTGGTGAACTGAGGCACGGACGCTGAAACACACAAACACACTGATGCTCACACACCTGGGCTGCACGCCTTCATTTAGACAAAGCTTTATGAAGATACTCAACGCTGATGGTAGTCCTGTTGAAAACTGCAAACCTAGGAGGGGAAAACTCCTCTGTTTAAAGATAATTAAAGGTTTCAGAAGTTTTGTCTTGTAACCGTTTCGACCAAGTCGGTAAGTAACGAGCAAAACCTGACAAACAAAAAGATAAAAATCAAAAGAGCAAAGAAGAAAACTTTCTGCTCTTTTATAAAAACAAAAAACAGATTGGTCTAAAATGTGATGAACAGAACTAAAGTACTAAAACATCTCAAGTTTTAGCCGAGTGTTTCTTCTGTGTTCGATCGATCTGCTCCCCATCCTGAGTTTTTAAAGTCTTTCTTTCTAATCAGTCGTGTTCAGTCCTGATGTAGAAACAACATGAAGGCTTCTAGAGCCCGACCGATTCATCCGCCAGCCGATAATATCGGCCGATATCGGCGTATCCAGTGACTATCGGTATCGGCTAATTTTATCGCAGATATCCTCCGATATGACTCGATTTATTCACCAGTCACAAAAAGCATTTCATTTGAGTTTCATTGTGTTACACTTGCAGTTCTCTTTCACCAGCAGAGGGCGCTATATGGATTACATCAAACATCATCACTCTCCAGAGTGTCGAGCGGTGATGCACGTACATGCTCAGTTACTTTCCAGCTGAGCGGCCATCTTGTCATTATAAATCATTTCCACAAGCGTTTGATAACTGCATATGAGGGATCCACACAATAAATGTGTTTATCTATGTCTATAGATCGATTATAGATTAAAGAAAGATATCGGCCTATATATCGGTATCAAATTTTCTCTCGTCCTAATATCGGTTTTGGCCCCAAAAATCCCATATCAGTCTGGCCATAAACGCTACAGAGGAGATTTTAGCGATTTCAGCACAAATCTAAGGAAACAGTCGAAGCAATATAACGATTTACATAAGAGCCAAAGGTTGCAAATGTCAATAAATGAAAGGTTTAGTTTTTGTTTCACATCGAGTCAAGGTGTTTCCATTCAGAAGGTATTTCCCCTTAAATGTTCTCTGACTTTGAGAGTTATTGTTCCGACCCTGAAGGCTGTTCACATCAATTGTTCAGAGTCTGAAGAGAATCTGAGTAAATATCCAAACATCACACGCTGGTAAAGAAAACAGTCATTATCCTGAAGTCCTTGCTGGAGACCTACCAGCCTGCAACAGAAAGTATCAAACCTTAACAATCATTTCTATGAATTTAAAGTTGTGCAGGCGGTTGATTTAGGCAGCAGAGTAAGTACACATGTCCTCTGGGTGAACATTTGGGGTGAACGTCCCTCCGGTCTCTCACAGAGCCACGCCGAGCTCCTCTGACCCCCAAAAACACAAAACAGGACGAGTCGCTCTGCGCTCATTAAAGTCTCTGACACATTCTCAACGAGCAAGTTACAACCTGTCAAACTGACGTTACATGACACAAAGGAAAACAATGTAGTATCCGTGTATGTGTGTGAGAATGTGTGTCATGCAGTGAATGTGTGTCAGTCCGTTTGTAAGAGTGTGTGTGTGTGTGTGTGTGTGTGTGTGTGTGTGTGTGTGTGTGTGTGTGTGTGTGTGTGTGTGTGTGTGTGTGTTGTGTACTCACAGCCTCTGCGTTGGCTCAGCCTGCTTTTCATCCATGGCACCCATGTCTTCTCCAGAGGATTTTGAGTGAGTTTTCTTTGAGTTTCTGACATGGCAGCCAGGATGTGTGTGTGTGTGTGTGTGTGTGTGTGTGTGTATGTGTGTATACTCCTCTGTACTGAGTGTGTGTGTGTGTGTGTGTGTAAGTGACAGCAGCACAGAGGAAAGAGGAGCGCTCTAGGTGAGCGTACAGATTTTGAACTTTCTCACTCTGAGTCAGCACACCTACTGAGAGTCTCTGATTGGTCCATCGACCTGTCAGTTGCTTTAACTGTCCTGGTAACACCCAGAGATGAGGTCATACGCCCAACCAATCACAGAGCTCAAACCTAAACTGTGCCCTGGCATTCAGGAAGTGGTGTCACCTGACAGACCAGGAACGGCAGCGTGAACAAGACCTGATCAGATGACTGATATAATCTGATGAATTAACCCATCCCTCTGTGTGTGTGTGTGTGTGTGAGAGAGAGAGAGAGAGAGAGAGAGAGAGAGAGAGAGAGAGAGAGAGATGAGTGTGTATTTGATGGTGAGTGTGTGTGTGGAGCAGTTATCAGGTCAACAGGTGTTGCAGCGATGGAAGCGGTCAAGAGAAGTGGTTCAGATAGAAGTGATTGTACCCGACCTAAAAAGCCTCTGCATGTTTCTAATAAGCTCCACGAGCAGAAACGTGCTCAAACTAGGATCAATATTGGAGATGCTTTTGAAAAATGGAGAGAGGTTAGAACACAGAAAGGTTTACAGACCCATGCAGAGCTGGATAAACACTGAAGCTTCAGAGTCCACCACATGGTGACCTGAGTGAGCATCCACTCTAGAGGGGGGGGGGGGAGACAGCTCTTACAATGTTTAGAATTTAGACTGCAGTACCCATTTTAAACTCTAGGGGTCAGAGTTACATACTGCTCCTTTAACATAAGCTACAAACACAATATTTGTTCTTACCAGTGCAGCCCTTTTACACTCTTTTGTTTGCTTTTCTACATAATTTGCATACATGCACACTGGTGTCCTTTTGACAGGGTTATTCAAGTATCCTGGTCATGTGTAAACACCGTGTCCTGGTTTTGAATTACCTGAGTATGTAATGCACCGGACTGAAACCAGGATACTGTACTGTATTGAAGCACCCGATCCAGGACACAGATCATGATCATCAACGAAACAGAGATATAAATAACCAGGACTCTCATGTTTCATTTTAAAGTCCTACCAAGATCCTAACAAGCATGTCAACAAACTCTCCAGGAAACATCAATTCAATTAGAGCGCTTCATGCAGTGTGTGTTAGTGTGTGTGTGTGTGTGTTAAGTTTTCAAGGACACACACCAGGTTTAATTTGGGGACAGCTTGCAAAATATTTTGGAAATCAATGCCAGATGCCAACTGTTAATATTTCAAAAGTGACTCAAGTAAAGCGTGGTAGTTTGTTGTGTGTGTGTGTGAGAGAGAGAGAGAGAGAGAGACAGAGAGAGAGAGAGAGAGAGAGAGTGAGAGACAGAGAGAGAGAGACAGACAGACAGAGAGACAGAGAGAGAGACAGAGAGAGAGAGAGAGAGAGAGAGAGAGAGAGACAGAGACAGAGAGAGAGAGAGAGAGAGACAGAGAGACAGAGAGAGAGACAGAGAGAGACAGAGAGAGACAGAGAGAGAGAGAGAGAGAGAGAGAGAGACAGAGAGAGAGAGAGAGACAGAGAGAGAGACAGAGAGACAGAGAGAGAGAGAGAGGGGAGCACAGGTTAACCATCTGTCTTAACCAAGCTTTCAAACCTCACCTGTGCTCTCAAGGCGCACACGCCTCGTCCGCTGCTGCTGCCTGGACTCCATTTGTTTCTTCATGCAGAGACCCAGAAGCCACGTGGGTCTATGCTCGGCGTCACACGACTAACCACAACCCCCCCCCCCCTCCAAAAATAACCATCCGACGACCCCGCACAGCAGCGGCCTTCAGCGTGCAGCTCAGCCCCCCCCCCACCTCTCCAGTGTAACACACAACACATCTGGCTCCCACTACGTCCGCTCCAAGGGCCGCTGGGAAAAACATCAGCCACATGTTGTTCCAAATGTTGGACAGCTCCCACAAAAACACATCCACGCTTATGTAATGACGTAGGAGTGTCTGTCTGAATGATCTGATTCAGTCATTTGATTTGTTTCATTCACCAGCAGCACCGCTGGAGGCGCGTGGATGGCAACCACGCGCTCTGCTCGTTTATCAATATTTGTGAACAGTTTGCGTCACGGGGATTGCGCACGCGCACGTCGCCTCTTTCACACTGCAACTCAAATGAATGAAAAAGGAGGAAGTGTGTGCGTTTGTTACGTAACTCTGTGGCTCGACACGCACCGCCGTCAGCAGTTTGTGTGTGTGTGTGTGTGTGTGTTAAGTCTGTGTGTGTTTTTTTGTTTTTTGTGTGTGTGTTGCTGTCACTCACAGTGCGGCCGCTGGAACCGGAGCGTCCTCCCCGTGCCCCCCTGCAGCAGCTCGGTTCCGTCTTGCGTAATCGCCGCTCCGTTCATCCTCCGAATCTATTCCTGGCGTACAGAGTGTGAGTGTGTGTGTGTGTAGCATGTACAGGTTGTGTGTCCTGGGGCTTCTGCTTGCTTCGCGATGCTCGGTCAGTCTGCAGACAAGTTGTAGCATGCCACTGTTCCTTAAATGCTGGCCCTCCTCCGTCACTGTAGTCCCTCCGGTTTAGTATTCCTCCGGTCATTCACACACTAACACAACACACACAAACACACACACACACACACCGTCTGCGTCAGTGAAACTGGTCCTCCAGGTTTAACCCCTCGTCACCGACTCTTACCTCCTTCCTGTTCCCTGCAAGACAACAGAATTCACGAGACTCTGTGTAAACAAATGTCCCATCATCATCACCCGCCACGCCTCTGCTGTCCTCTGAGAGCGAGGCAGTGATGCTGCATGTTATGTGTGTGTGTGTGTGTGTGTGTGTGTGGCAGATGTAGTGTTTTCAGTGGTTGCATGTTCAGTATTTTTGTTTTTAAGTTTTTTGCACACTTGCATATATTTTTTTTGCACATTGCTTCTCCAACACATTTCCTTGATGTCTGTTATTACTCTTTAAAAACACATAAAGTCAACTAATGAGTCCTGGTGTTTTGTTAAAGATAAACTACCCAACAGTTAATCAAGTAAATAACACTTTTACTAATTATAACATAAAAGTAGTAAACATATTAATGCATGACTAATTACTTAATTATTCTAAAATGGGCTAAAGAAGTACACTTGTCTCTTCCCTTCTTAAATTAAAGCTCCTGTGAGGAGTTTTTAACTGGGTTTAAAACAGACTGAAATGAATAATATTGCCTCCTCATGAAAACCTCCTAAAAAAGCAAACAAGGCCATAATATTAAAGACTGACTGATTGTATTGAGTTAGATTCAGTATCTGAAACTGCTGCCAGGGGGGGTAGGTGTCAGAAAAATGAATGGCCACACTATGATGGGACGGCCTTTTTTTTTTCTTTTTTTTTACATTTTCCACGTCAAAGATTCACTGTGAGTGAAACATTTGAATTTTTAAAGAAAGCAGGATGAAATTTAAAAATAACCCAATTATCGACACGTGGGACAAGATAAGCAAAGAGTTAAGATGCACTGCTTTGTCCACAGGGGGCACCAAAATCAACACAAGCTGAAAGTTCCTCACAGGATCTTTAAGTTTAAATTAGAGGATTTTAAATGGAACCTTAAAGGGCCGGTCTTATTTTACAAATACGCTGATATTACTGTTAAAAACCCCAAATATACCTTTTTTCTATGTTTGTATTTTTGGGCTTTTATTGCCTTTATTTGACAGGATTGTAAGTTTAGATTTTAGAACAAGCTCTGATCTGAAAACTAGGAAGGTCTTGTCAGCTAGGTGGGTGAATCGAAACTTGCTTTGAGTAGATATTGATAGTGGGTCGTTGTCAGGCTTTGTTTGGACTGAGCACTTAAGTTTCATTCTCTGAGCATCAACAGGAGAGGCAGTTGACACGTGTCACACCCTCTGTTGATTGCAAGCTGAAAATCTGGGCCAGGATTTTCCCGAAAATCCAAGTTTAAAAGAGTCTGAATCCGAAACTGCCAACAGAACAAGCTCTGATCTGAAAACGTCTGACGCTTCTGACGCTTCAGCGGGGCCACAGAGGCCAGGCATCCATGACTACTGCTTTGCCTATTTTCTCTGGTCATCTGCTAAACGCAACATGTGCTACAAAGAAACCTCTGTCATTCATGGGAACAGGAAAAGACACATCTGTCATAAACAACAAAATCTTAAAACTTGTCTCTGCTTAAGAAAGCCTTTTCTACCCACCCTTCATTTACTTTTGGCCTCTGGAACTGTCAATCTGCTGTGAATAAAACTGAATTCATCCAAGCACTTTCAAAAATGTCAGACATTCAGGCACTTGTCCTTACTGAAACCTGGACCCGCCCAGAAAATACATTCACACCAGCTGCTCTTTCTGTTGACACAGTGTTCTCACACACACCCCGCTCTGTTGGACGTGGAGGTGGTACAGGTATCCTCATTTCTTTGCTTTTTTTAAAGATTTATTTTGGGCTTTTCGTGCCTTTAATGCAGAGAGAGGACAGTGGATAGAGTCGGAAACCAGGGAGAGAGAGCGGGGAATGACATGCGGAAAGGGGCCACGGGTGGAAGTGAACCCGGGCCTACCGCTCGAGACGAGAGTCTCAATACATGGGACGCGCGCCCTAACCACTGGGCCACCAACTCTCTACTGGCAGGTCTTCCTACATGCATTATCAAACCTCTGCAAATGATACAAAATGCAGCAGCACGACTCGTCTTCAACCTTCCTAAAAGAGCACATGTCACTCCGCTGGTCATCTCCTCACACTGGCTCCCAGTTACTGCTCGCATCAAATTTAAAACTCTGCTGCTCGCTTACAAAACAGACACAGAAACGTCTCCTCCTTACTTTAACTCTCTGATCCAGGTCTACACTCCCCCCCCCCACTACGCTCTGCCAATGAAAGGCGTCTGATCCAACCTTCACAACAGGGTCCTAAGTCTCTGACTAGACTCTTCTCCTCTGTCGCCCCCCGGTGGTGGAATGAACTTCCAAACTCCATGTGATCTGCAGAGTCCCTCTGCACCTTTAAGAAAAAGCTAAAGACCCAGCTCTTTCATGAATACCTACTAACTTAATGATGATGGTCTCCATATTATTGATGATGATGATGGTAATGACGATGGTTTTTGTTTGATAACTGTGACTTATAAGATGGTTTCTATACTGATTAGAGCTCTCAAGAACTGCCCTCAATGTTGTGCTTTGCCTCTGGTCACTTCCTGTCAGCACCTGTGTGTCCAATCAGACTCAAAGCTGATCGTTTGCTCTTACTGACATTGTTCCCTTTTTTCTAGATCCTTGCTTGTGTTGTTCTTACTCTCTGATGTACGTCGCTTTGGATAAAAGAGTCTGATAAGTGAATTGTAGAATTGTAGAATTATGCCTTTATTTGACAGGATTGTAAATTTAGATTCATTGTTTTGAATTAAGACTGCAGTACCCATTTGAAACAATAGGGGTCAGCGTTACATATTTTGCTCCTTAAACACAAGTTAGAAACATAATGTATTTATCATTATCAGTGCAGGGCTTTTACACTACTACATAATTTGCTTCTGGATAGCAGAGTAAGAAACCAGTTGGAGACTAAAGAATGACAAGCCGGGAAGGAGCCGCAGGTCAGATTTGAACACGAGGCGCCCGCTCGAAGGACGATAGCCACCATACTTGGGGCATTACCTAACCACTAACCATCGGCGTCCCAAATTAGAACTTTTTAATATGTTTTTTATATCCGTGGATTATTATTTCAGACACCAGATACCTAGATGCCTGGAAACCAAAGACAAGTCATAATCCCAGGGTTGTGTTTGCCATGACACCTAACTCACACTGTTGCAGGGTAATAGTTTTAATCATCAGTTTCCTGTTCCGCTGCATTCCACACCTTTGACTGCTCTCCATCTCACAGTAACCAAAGCAGTCGAGCCACACTGTAAAAAAATACCTTTTCTTAAGAACTGCTCCCAGGTGAAAAAGAAAAGAAAAGGTAATTGTACATTCATATTCCTACTTTCATTAAAGCTACACTCATGCTTCACTTCAGTTTCTAAATAAATAGTTTATTTTACATCCCTTTATCCCTTTAACTTCATTGTGTTTGGAAGCTTTTAAAATTAAAACCATAGACTTATTAAAAAGAAGGATGACTTTAAAGGGTTAACAGCACTTTGTGTGTCTTATAGCCGTGCAGGTGCACTCTTGGACCTTCGGTGGGCACCAAAGCGCGTCAATCCAAATTCCTACATATTGTTGCTCTAAGTGTCACAGAGGTCATTTTTAGAGTTAAATATGTACTTTTACGTTTTGTCTTACTTTTAAAGCTGTTTTAATGGTCTTAATCTCCAACCAGCCTTTCAGGAAGTAACTGACCAAAATGTCCTCATTCACCAAAAGTTCCTAATTTTTGGGTCCTCACTAAGACTTTTGGACGAGAGCACACACACACACATACAGTGGAGAATAAGCACCAGGTCTGAGGTCTGTTCAGGATATGCGTAGTCCATGTTTATTTATTAGTTGACAGTCTGGGGTTAGTTTGCCGGCTACAGAACAGCGCACAATGCAACAAGCAGGTACATCAGCACACCTCAATATTGCAGTAACCCCTCCCTCATGCCCCCTCCCCCCTCTGTAAATATGCATGTGTGTGTTTGAATTTTGAACCCCACTTCTCCCCAGCTGCTTCCCCTCACCACTCACACACAGATACACACATTCACACGCACACACACCAAACAGCCGTCCTCCCGTGTCATCATGTCCCTCCTGTCATACTGATTCATTTCATTGTGTTAGTTACTGATCGTATCAAAATCACTGATGACAATACTGACTGCGTCGTCGTAACTGATATAAGCACTGTTGTTGTTTTATTGTTTTCATTTGCAGTATTATTATTTATAACTTTTTTTTTTGTCTTTTACTTGTTTTTATTTTAATTTCCCCCCAAAGTGTTTATATGTATAAAAGAAGGCTGAAACAGAGACAGACAGACAGACAGGCAGACAGACACACACACAGACAGACAGACAGACAGACAGACAAGACACACAGACAGGCAGGGCTGTACAGTCAGCATCAGGTGCAGAGAGGAAAGGAGTCGAGACCTGCGAGACGTTGAACAAGGCAACATGTTCAGGTTTGATTACAGACTGTAGATCGGATCAGAAGTGTTGTTGAAGTTTTGTATTTTGTCCATCACCTCCCTCCCATCATCCATTTTCAAAATATCCCTACATCCCTTGATTTTAACACAATATATTTTTTAAAAACATTTAATTTATTGATGTTTTTGTATCAAGCACAAAAACTTGAATGAGCTGATGCATCTCAGAAAGTAGAAAAAAATAATAATTATTAACTGCTCTACCTTAAAAACATTTACAGCCCAAGCACTGTAGCATCCTCTTCCAATCATTTCTGTAGTGTGAATGATTGACAGGGGTCGTGGCCCACCCCCTTGATTTGTCGATAATTTTGGGAACAATTTAATGTGTGACGCACGATGGTCAAATTATGTTTCGCTAATTGTTGCGGATTCTTTAAGGAAAAAACAGATCAAAATACAAACTATTTTTGAACGCTTAGGAACACCTTCAGTGGGAACCAGCCAGCTAGAAACTACGGGCTACAGCTGCAGCCTTTCGATTTGTTGACAATAATAAGAACACAAAGGACTCCTCAGGCTTGTGTCTCCTGTTCCTCTCTGCTCCACAAACATTAAAAACAAAGTTCAGCTCTGGGTCCAAACACTGGGGAAGTCCCTGGTTAGTTTAACGTACCCTCTCTTGATTCGTCAGACAGTTTTGTCCGGCACACTGGGGCCACAAAAATAATAAACCCTCTGAGTATTGAGATTTATTTCCTGTCGAGGGCCGAGGACGACATCACCTCGCCCGAGTTCATTCAAACATCTGCGCCCAGTCAGGGCATATAAATGTTAACATTTATGACATGACTTAATAATCCATATTATCTGCTGCATCTCTAAAGCTCTATAAAGACACTGGTTGAGGGGGGAGGGGTGGATTCTTCTCACTATGATTCTAGTCTTCTCTAAATGTCTCTGGGCTACTAATCGAAACAAGAGGAGACGATGGCGTGTGTGTGTGTGTGTGTGTGTGTGTGTGTGTGTGTGGGTGGGGGGGTTGGGGGTATTATGATACAAAAGCTGCAGCAGAGGAACGCCACAGTACAAATTCCAACAGAGCAACAGATAATAAAAAAAATTACAATTTTGTTCATCTTATAAAAGAAGCAATGGAAATAAAAAATGACAATCTCAAGGTTCTATTTACATTCAGAGAACGATACGTCAGATTCTCTTTCTCCTCCTCCTCCTCCTCCTGGGGCGTTTCTGTCCTCCCTCCTCCCTCTCTCCTTCAGAGGGTCCCATATGGTTTTGCTACAGAGGACCTCCATGTCCATAAGCCTCCGCTTAATGCATGCATCAGTGTACGTGTGTGTATGCATAGGAATGTCTTTCTGTCTGTTATCACTTTCTACGGTGGTCCTGAAAGCTCAGAGGACTGCAAGATCAAACACATAACATAACGCTGTTTCAGGGACTATAAACCTGTGACTATGAAATGGCTCCTACTGTCCAGTAATGCAAATTTGAGGAGCCACTTCACTTTTGGTAATTACTCTTGTACAATTCCCCTGAGGAACACCAGCTGCAGGTAAGGTAAATGAGCCATGCAATCAAAATGTTAAAACTATCAGATAAAAACATCATAGCTCAGATCAACTTTTCACTGTTTGTCATTGATTTGCAGCTTGTTTAACTTTTGCACCAGTTATATCTTAATGCATGTTTCCCCAAATTGATGAAGCAGTTTTCCTTTGAGCTTCTAGGTATCCAGTTTAGACGTGTTTGCAGCGCTATGAACATTCAGGGCCACCGTAACATCCTGATCCTGCTTTTTCCCCCCTGCTGAGTAACAGGACTGATCTAAGGATGATGGGGTAGAAATGCGTTTGGGTAGAAATGTATGATTTGACAGATGGGATGCGCGAAAAAGAGGGAGGAGAGAAGGCTTAACTGGACACTCGTTTAAGGCAACAGATCTCCCATCACTGCAGGTTAAAAGGCAGCGACGGAGAGCACGGACAATCGCACGCACGCACACAAAGTGAAAGTCACTCTTTGAACTTAAAATGCGAAAAAACATTGACTGAATTATTTGTTAAATGCCTCCGAGGGGGGGGCATGCATCTTAGGTTTGACAGCCGCGCACACAACAATAAATAGACAAATCATTCCCAGACACATGCACACAAACACAAATAAATAGCTCGCTAACAGTGTAAACAAAGACACATCGTGGTGATGTTTGACAACAATGCACAAAAAGTGAAGAATATAACTGAAATGTTGACGTGTGTGTATAAAAAAACAACCAAATATGACTTATGATATAATATATAACTGATGTGTTAATGACACTGAAGTGTTTATACACGATGACACAATGTGGTTGTCAGACAAGATGGAAAGATTTCCCTTTTTCTTCATCACATCTTATCTTCCTCTCCTTGGCGTTGTTGCACCAGCTGTTTGTAAATCCAGCACTATACGTTGAATTTATTAATTTATTAGACTGGGTTAAACTGGTCAAATGTCAGAGAAGTGTTGACTGGGAAAGCTTTTTGTCTGTGGCTGTGTCCAATCAGAAAGCAATCCAAAACGCAAAGTCAACTAAGCATCATGTCTAAGCAGAAACATTTATCGTTTCCAGCAGGAGATTTGTTGTTTTTTAATCGAAGCAGCGAGCAATTTGCCTGTTTGGTTATCGACTTTGCAGCCATTCCAGCCAACAGTAACATGGAGTACACCTTAAGAAGGAACTATTCCGAGTAGTTTAACCTGCTGTTAGAGATGCATCAAAATCGACTTGGGGAAAGTTGAAATTCTGACCACATCAAGTCTGGAGTTACAAACAGCTGGAGCAGCTGGCTCCTCCCCCTGTTTTTGTCTTACAGAAGAGTGATGGTTTTGTGATCTGGTTTTGCATGTCTTCTTGCATGTTGTGTGTGTGTGTGTGTGTTTTTCAGTGTGTGTTTGTGTGTAAACTTGAAGTAGAAAAGGTAAGACATCCTGTAAACATCTGCACTGCATAAACCTGTGGAATGTACTGAGACAGTGTGTGTGTGTGTGTGTGTGTGTGTGTGTGTGTTGTTGCACTTTAACGTTACAGGCAGTGGAGTCAGGAGTGGTCTGTCCCTTTGTGTTGGTGCTGCAGGCGGGCAGTGTGTATGTATGTGTGTGTGGGTGTGTGTTTGTATTTTTATTATGATGGTGTGTGTGTGTGTGTGTGTGTATCTAGCTGGGCCGGTTCAGGATGCTCGACATGGATGGAGCGATGGGTGGAGGAGGGACTGCGTTAACAGGGGAGGCGGGACCAGAGCTCTCGTTGCCGTGGGGAACGGGTCCCCGGCCGCTGTACTGGCCGATGAAGGAGCCGTCCTCGTTGAACTGGATGTCCACGCTGTCTCCATATTCAGCCAGAGAGTCGTCACTGCCCAGTTTACTCTTGCCGCACAGAGACGGCTGGCTGTCCGAGCGCTTCTCGTCTGCATCACTGAAAGACGACAGAGACGGAAAAAAGACATCAGCAGTAGGATTTATTTCGGGGGAGGGGCGGTTTGTGACTTTGTTGGAGTGAGAGAGTGGGGAATGAGCCACAGGTCACCCACCTCGAGGACTGCAGCTTATGTTCATGGGGTGCACAAATCACTCGGACACGGGGGCCCCAACTGGTTTGCTTCTTAATGCGATGAAGTTACCCAAAGCTTTAACTACTTTTGTGGTAAATTTAGCTTTTAATAACTGTTTCATAGTTAATCAATGCATAATTCTGTAATTATCAAAGCTATAACTGTATTGCCATTAAACAGCAGAAATACTAAAGTAAGATCCTTTCAAAAGAGGCTTTACATTTGGACTTACAGTGATGCATGTGACACAAAATAACCTCACTCTGCCAGAAACTAAAGCTGACACAAAGCTGAATAAGATGGAGGCGGGGTGAATAAAAATAATTCCAAGGAGCTTTAGAGGACACATGTATTTCAAAGAATCACTAAAAGTCTTGAATAGAGTCGTTCTGAGATGTTATTAAACCGGTTAAAATGGCAAGATGCACAAACACACAAACAAACAGTTAAACTACTAATTTAGTTATATTTCATGACACACGATCTCAATGCATGCATTGTTGACTTTTCTGACTTCCTCACCTCTCCAGAGATCTGCAGGCCGAGCATTGGCGCAAGAAAACAAAAAAAAGAGGATGAAAAAGGAGAACCGAGGAGGTGTTAGAGGCACAGCATCAAACGGAGCAGGCAGCAAAGACATTGTTGCAAAAACAGAAGTGAATTAGTAAAAAATGTGAATTAGAAGATTAGTTCCAGAATGAAGTTGTTAGTTGTTAATCAAGTTGAAGAGGTTAGAAACACTCAAGAAAAGTGCTTGATTAGAAAAATATGTGCGTTAATAAAATGGGAACTTGTGCGAACACTGATATTGTAAAAGTCAATCCCTGCAGGATTAAGCATCCTTCACTGTGATAGTTTTGGTCGTTAATGCCTTTTATCATGAAACGCCAGATTTTGAAAAGATGTTATGAAAGTTGTGATTGTTTTGTGGCAACTGTCAGGGGCAGCATTAGCTCAGTCCGTTGGGATTTGAGGTAAAGGTCCAGTCAGTGACCTTACTCTATGCTCAGACATTAAGGAAACATGCTATGTTGAAGTGCTGGCTTCTCTGACAACAATGCAGCAGCCAGTATGTCCTCCTTCTAACTTTAGATTCTGCTCCTGAATGCTCTGGATTTGTTTGGACCAGAGAAAGTAGGCGGTTTTAAGGCTACCCCCCACACGGCCGTTTTGGACGCCCCCCGGTTTGCCAGATATGAGGCACCAGTCCCTGTGCAGTCACCTCCACACTCTGACAACTCGACATAAATGCATGTTTGTGCTTTCAGGCCTTTGAATGTGTGAAACATGTTTCAGAGTGAACAGAGTGAACAATCTGGATGAATAAAGTGTGTCAGATTAACAACTTGGACAAACATTCCAGAAAAGCCATCTATTAGCTCAGCAAGTTGTCTGTCCTTGGACATCACTACCGATCAGTTTTCATGTCCAGATGACAGATTTAACGTTTGAAAATAGTTGAAACTGAACTTAATTTCATTAAAACCTCATCTGAAACTGTGTGTATGCATAAAAGAACCCCATAAAAAGACTCACCTGTACTCTCCGAAAGTCTCATCTTTCATTGGCCGAGCTTCAGAGTCTACTTCCTTGTCTTCTTTGTCCTTCACTGTAAAAAGAAAAAAAAAACAACCCTCATAATCAAACTGGTGATTAGAGACTTACCCGGTTCTTTAGTTTTGGATGTTCTGTTTGGTCCTACCTGCGTATTTGCCGCCCTTCCTGCGTTTGATGAGGCAGAGGATGAGCAGTATCAGCACCAGCAGCACGATGGCGCTGATGAGTCCAATCAGCCAACCCTGTGTGGCGAACCCACTGGTTATCTCTGAAGGTTCTGAGAGACGGAGAGACATCGTCAACAAAACGGGAAACTACAGAATGCAGCTGGACTCTTAAATCTGCTCACAATTTAGTCTTAAATCTGGTCTCTGTGACGTTTCTTTACTTAATCAACAAAATAACTGATTTATTGATTTTTAGGCAGATTTAGAGAAACTCCTGAGATGAACGTCAGAGATGATGATATTTCTCAGAAAGTGTCAGTCATACTGTGTAAACTGCTTAAAGGCAGGGTTGGTAATTCTCAAAAACTAGCATGATTTTGAAAGTAGCATTCCCTCAGTGCTCCGTCTGCACCCACCGCCTCCCCTCTGTGCTCCCTCTAAAGCCACGCCCCCTCACTTACATGCACGAGAAGTGGACCTCAGCTCATCTCTTGCATTGTGTAGAAACTTTGTTGTCTCATGTCTCATTCAGCGGTAAATAAACTCACAGTTTAAACTCCTAAAGTCATCGGTGACGAGCTTTGAGTGTGAGCTAGAGCACGCAAGAGGTAGAGAGCGAGCAGGGAGACAGGGAGGCGTGTGATTGGTTCATCAGATTGGTACCTTGTGGCAGACATTAGTTTTTACAGACTTACAAACTGATACAGATGATGGATTTTCTTTGTTTCTTTTTCAGAGAACATGAGTTATTAATTTCTGTCAGGACCTAAAGACAATTTACACCAAAATCTGAAAAAGTGGATCTGGAGGAAAATTACCAACCCTGCCTAGTAAGTTTTTGGCAAATTCTGACAAGGTGCATTGTCTTTTCCAGCCTTCAGTCGTTATTTCAGAGTCAATCGTTTAGCAGACACTTTTATCCAAAGTGACAAACATCAGAGGGTAAGCATTGCGTTGCCTGTTTGTGCACACTTCCTCCACACTGTTACCTGGTCCTTTAGTGAACGTATCCTCTTCCCACTGCGTGATGTTTCCGTGCATGATTGCTAGCTTGTACTCAGTTCCTGGTTTGAGGCCACTCAGCGAATAGAAACCCTGCGTGGTGTTCACCACCTCTGACTCCTCCCAGAAATTCCTCTCACAGTCGACTGCAGCAAACACAAACACACAGACACACACACAGGAAAGTCTTAGATTGCTGAAGTTGTAGTTGTGTAATATTCTGCACAACTAAACGATTCTCCACTCTCTTCTTCTCTTGCGCTTCTTTTTTTAACTTCCTTAATGTGCTCTAACAACATCTGCCCATCGCGCGTGTTGTTCAAAGTGTTTCCATCTCATGTAAGAGTCCTGACAGGCAGGTAACTTAAGGACATGTTCATTTAATTATTAATAACAACATCCTACATTCTCAATTTCCCCCCACATGCACTCTAACATGCATTAAAAACCCCTCTCTTACAGCGCTTCCTGCAGTAGCGTATGGTGAAGCCGTGGTTCCTGTCTCGCTCTCCGGGCACCCAGCTCAGGTTGAGCGACTTGTTACTGGAAACTATGGACACGTTGGATGGAGGCACTGAAATAAGAAGACAACAAGGTGAGCAAGCATACAAAGAAAAATTACATTTGAAAATAAAAAACTCTTGGATCAAAACGCGGTGATTTCACCTCCATCGAGCTGGGTGGCACCCCGCCGTGTGATGGGGGGCCCGTCTCCAGCGCTGGTGCGTGCGATCACATTGAAGCTGTAGTAGCTGCTGGGGTCCAGAGACTTTAACTCAATGTGAGTGACATTGGGATCGCTGATGATCTCCATCTGCAGCGTGCCGTCTCTGTTCTCCACCTCTGCACACCAAGCACAGAAAACAAGACGATCAGCAGATGTGGATTTTTCAATGTGCAGGGACCCAAAGACGCTTTACATGGTGGAGGAACAATAAGAATACAAACAACAAACAAAAACAAGACAGAGACGTAACAAGCCTTCACAAGCCTAGGCTGCACCGGGCTTGGAAAGGGATAGGGGGAGAGATGGGATAAAATGCAGGAAGAGGGATAGGGAGCAAGGGGGTGGGGGGATGTGGAGTAAGGGTTTCTGCCACGGGGGTCAGAGAGTGATGACCGCAGTCGGGAGATTCTTTTTCATTCAGTGACAGAAGGAGGATTCTGTGACGGATTTGATGTTGGAGTGAAAAGAGAGATTGGAGTCGAGGTTGCCGACCTTGGAGGATGGGCGAATGGAAACCCAAGATTTTATGTTTTGTTAAATGGACTTGAGCTTGTATATTTCTTTTCTAGTCTTCTGACTACTCAAAGCTCTTTTACACCGCAGGTCACACCTACACATTCACACCCTGATGGTAGAGGCCGCTGAGTAGAAAGTCCATCAGAAGTAACCCATACCCATTCATACTCCGCCCACAAATCTGCAGGAGCAACTTGGGTGTTAAGGGTCTTGCCCAAGGACACATCGGACATGTGGCTGCAGGAGCTGGGGATCGAATCCCAGACCTTCCGATTGAGGGACAACCGACTCTACCACTGAGCCACAGCCTCCGTTTTATGCTGTTGTGAGATGTATTGCATGAAACAAATAAGACTTAGTGCAGACGGTAGCAGATGCAGAACGTACCCTGTTGATACTGCACCATGTATCCCTGCAGGGGGCCGTTGGTTTCCTCAGGACGGGTCCAGTAGAGAATCAGAGATCTCTCTGTTGGACTCTCAAACCGGAGTGAAGCAGGAGGACCGGGCGCTGCGCAGACAAACCGGGAACATGTGAGTGACAGTATCTTAAAAAATACAGGAAATATATTTATTTCTTTAGATCTCTTTTAAACCCACCTCCCTCCGGGGTGACGAAGTGGTGCGGAGTAGAGTTAGGCCCCTCCCCCTTGCTGTTCACGGCAGTCATGGTTAGCTCGTAGCGTGAAAACAGCCGCAGCCCCGACACTTCCTCTGACGTCTGCGTGCCGTGCACCTCCACCACCCTGCTCTCCACGTGCCGCTCCCTCAATCGCTCCTCTCTCTCCTCCTCGTGGTGAGGTTTACCGAGAGACCTCCGGCCCCGCCCCAGCTGGGGACCCAACCTCCTGATGTAGATCTGACATGGAGGCAGTACAGAACGTCATTAATCTGATTTTCTTTGCAGAAGTTGAAAACAACAAGAGGAGAAATGAATACAGCAACAGGCGATGACACAAAAATAGAAAACTAAACAACCTTCCTGAGTTCTTCTCACTGGATATCTCCATCTTGTGAAAGCGCAGGTTGTATATTTTTATCAACAAAGTCACATGTGACCTCTGATGACCCCCGGACAGGTAAATATCTTAGCGCTCATTCCCACAGAGTCTTCTCCTGCTCATGGATTTTGAGTGACTTACAACTCTTGCAGTCATTCCAGTTTCATAGAACCATGGTTACCTTAGTAACCTTTGATTTTTTTTTGTCTCTTACCTTGTATCCCCTCAGCCGCCCTCGGACGTTCTGGGCTTGGTTCCACTTCACTCTCACGGTGCTGTTCATCACCGTGGTGGAGACTCCGGTTGGTGCTTCTTTGGGCTCTGAGAGAGAAACAGACAGAAACAACAATAACCAGGTATTAGCAGGAGAAATCATGTCGAGCGAGTGGGAGTTGGGTGATGACGTGGCGTGGCGCTACTTTAACCGTCGCTGGAAAACAAACACCCAAATTCTTTAATTTGACTCTCCTCTCCTCTCCTCTCCTCTCCTCCTCTCCCCTTAAAAGATCTAAAGTGACCTACTGTCCTCTCCCGAGTGTCCTATGTCAGACTGCGGTGGCGGTCCCGCTCCCAGTGAGTTCACAGCCTGGACTTTGATCTCAAACGGCTCGTACGTCCCCGTGTCGTTTACATGGAATGGCGGCGAGACGGCGTAGCCATCTTCCCAATCTGCGCCCGGCTTTCCGGACTTCCATGACACCTTGTACTTGAAATCCGGACCGTAATGCAAGTGATTCTCCATCTCCTGCAGGTGCACAAACATGTCGTGTTTGGATTGAGTACAGAATGCATTGAGGAGAGAATATTTACATTAAGAAACATCCAGACTGAAGTACTCACGTCCCACGATATGGTCAGAGTCTTTGCGTCCGTGGACTCACTGCGCACATTTTCCGGGTTTGTGCCAGGAACTGGAGGAGGTAAACGGAGCGGGAGAGAGGATTAGTAAAGACAGGAAACAGCTTTACAGAGAAGACAGCAAGACAGAACATGACAAGTATTTAATTACTAATAAGGACTACAATTCTACAATTCACTGAGCAGACTCTTTTCTCCAAAGCGACGTACATCAGAGAGTAAGAACAACACAAACAAGGATCTAGAAAAAAGGGAACAATGTCAGTAAGAGCAAACGATCAGCTTTGAGTCTGATTGGACACACAGGTGCTGACAGGAAGTGACCAGAGGCAAAGCACAACATTGAGGGCAGTTCTTGAGAGCTCTAATCAGTATAGAAACCATCTTATAAGTCATCGTTATCAAACAAAAACCATCGTCATTATCATCATCATCATCATCATCATAATATGGAGACCATCATCATTAAGTTAGTAGGTATTCATGAAAGAGCTGGGTCTTTAGCTTTTTCTTAAAGGTGCAGAGGGACTCTGCAGATCACATGGAGTTTGGAAGTTCATTCCACCACCGGGGGGCGACAGAGGAGAAGAGTCTAGTCAGAGACTTAGGACCCTGTTGTGAAGGTTGGATCAGACGCCTTTCATTGGCAGAGCGTAGTGGGGGGGGGGGAGTGTAGACTCTAATAGAATCCTGCAGTCGAGGTAACTTTAAGAATTCCCCCGTCACTTCATCACTCACCAGCCGGCGGTGTGCTGTGTTTCTCCGACGGTAGGCTGTGTACGCTGCTCCCGAGCTGGTTGACGGCGATGACTCTGAAGCGGTAGGTGCAGAACGGGTGCAGTGTCAGCTGACGGTGGTTGAAGTCTCCGGGAACAATCTCCAACCTCTCCCACTTCCACTTTCCTGCCTCCAAGTGCTGCTCCTCCCGCGCCTCCACAATGAACTCTGAAAGACACAAACGATGTTAAAGGTCATCTGTCAACAAACAAACCCCCCAACAATGAGCAAAGTCCATCCTCTCTCTGTCATCTGCCTGCTCCACTTTTCAGAAAATGTGTGCTCAAACAGGCCGTTTGGAGATTTTCCCTTTATGACATCACAAAGGGCAGTAGCCCCTCCCCCCATTTACATATTTAAAGGTTCAGACACAGAAACAGCCTGTTCTGAGCAGCGCTGAAATAGAGGGGTTTATAGAAGACATGTATGTGTGTGAACGTTTATGTGTGTGTGTGTGTGTGTGTGTGTGTGTGTGTGTGTGTGTGTGTGTGTGTGTGTGTGTGTGTGTGTGTGTGTGTGTGTGTGTGTGTGTGTGTGTGTGTATGTGTGTGTATGTGTGTGTGCATGTGTTAGTACCTATGATGGGGCTGTTGTGTGAGCTTCCTGGGATCCAGCTCAGAGTGAGGCTGTAGTCTTCAACGTCAGACAGAGTCAGATCTTTCGGAGGGTCCGGCGGTGCTGAGGGTCACACATTAAAAACCGTGAGCGTCACACTTTAACGCATACACACAAACCACATGTCTCATTAAAGCACACACACGCATGATGACGTACCTACTACCGTGATGGAGCCGCTGGCCTTCACGCTGTCCAGGTCCGTGCTGACCTCACAGGTGTACTGTGCGTTGTCGCCTGGTTGGACGTTTGTCACTCTCAGGGTGCCGTTTTCAAACACAGTGTGCCTAAAAATAACACAATCAGTTCTTATTGTTACAGTTTGTGTCATTAAGTTTGTTAAGGTCATTTTTTTTATTCTGCATCTTTTCACTTCGTGTGTGTGTGAGTGTGTGTTTCTACTTGTCATCAGGCGACGACTCGAGCAGCTCGTGTCCGTGTTTCCTCCAGCTGATCTTGTATTCGAGGTTAGGATCTCTGTAGAAGCCGCAGTCCAGCAGGGCGCTGGTTCCCCTGAGCGTGCGCACGTCCTGCGGGCTTGTCAGAATCAATGTTTGATCTGACGGGAACAAAAAAGGTCAAATTAGTGTTTTTGTGGTTTAATCGCACACACCTTCGTCTGTGACAGAAACGTCTCGCCACGGGCATCTTTTTTTTTTATGTCGGCTAACAGCTAACGGTTAGCGTGTGCAGATGCTTCCTCCGCTCATTCATTGGTGCTGAGAGCTGAAATATTGAATAGATATGAGCTGGAGCAGTGACTTTCTGTTTTTCTGTTTTTCTATTTTCAATTTTTCTATTTGTTTTTTTCTAGTCTGATGGTCTTGGTTAATCTGTTCCCATTAATTTTGTTGTTGTTTTGTCTAAAAACTTAATTTGTTTTGGCCAACAAGTCCAACATCACACACTGATTGATAAAAACATTTTTATTTTTCTGTGAATAATACACAAAAATAAGAAGGTGTAGGAGCAGAAACATTTTTAACTTCTTCCTATCCCTTTTGAACATGAACTATATTATTTGAGTTTTTTATTTGTTGCTATGGAGCCAGTTTGTTTTTTTGTTTTGTTTTTTTTCCTTTTAATTTGTATCAATAAATTGACTAAAAAAAATAAAAATAAAAATAAAAATAAATAAATGTGTGTGCGTGGGACTCACTGTACACTTCCAGGTGAGCAGTGATGGAGATGTTGGTGTGTTTGACGTGGCAGCGGTACGATCGGCTGTCTTCGTTGGCGGCGTTGGAGAGCTTGACCGTCCCGTTGGTCAGCGGGGAGAAACGAGCGTAAGACAGCAGAGGGATCTCGTCCTCGTCCTCCCTACAGAGATGACACACACACACATAGACACACACTTACTGACCCACACACACAGACACTTACTGACAGCTCTTCAGTCTTTATTCCAACATTACACACTCACATCTCAGCAGCAGTTAAAGGCTGTAACTCAAATTAATGGAGGAGAGTTTCAAATGAGATGAATAAAAGACGAGCGGAGAGAGAGAAGAGATGAATGGTTTGTGGGCAAAGTGGGCAAGTACCCAGGGCCCTGTCCTAAGATTTGTATTTTTATATACAAATATTATTTTAAGAGAGTAAAAACGTTTAAAAAAAAAAAAAAGGAAAGGACAGCATCGACACATCGAAGTGCTCTGGCTTTGCTACGGAATGTACCATGTAGATAAAACCACCAGAGGGCGCTGCTCCGCTTTAAATGAACCACTGGAGCTTTTTAACTTGTTTGAAGTTTCTGCAATTTAAAGAAAACGTTTTGGCAATGAAAATAAAACAAAAAACAACAATGTAGCGATAAAACAAGAGGACATGGAGAATTAAATAGAAACATAGAAGAAAATAGAAGACTGCCAAAAACTAAACAAAATGTTTTTTTACATCATCTTATTCTTCCCCCCTTTTTTCCTTTTTCCTCCCTCCCTCCCTCCTTTCTTTCTTTCTTTCTTTGCTCCCTCCTTTCCTTTTTTCCTTCCTTCCTTCCTTCCTTCCCTCCTTCCCTCCTTCCCTCCTTCCCTATTAATATCTTTACTAGTTTCATTTCCACTCTGTTGTTGCTTCATTTCAACTATTTTTAATTTGTTCCTTCCTTTTTAACCCTTGTCTCCTCTCCTCTCCCCCTCCCCTCCCCTCCCCTCTCCCATCCCATCCCCTCCTCTCCTCTCCTCTCCTCTCCTCTCCTCTCCTCTCCTCTCCTCTTCCATCCCCTCCCTCCTCTCCTCTCCTCTCCTCTCCACCCTTTCCCCTCCTCTCCACCTCTCCCCTCCTCTCCTCTCCTCTCCTCTCCTCTCCTCTCCTCTCCTCTCCCCTCCTCTCCCCTGCCCTCTCCTCTCCTCTCCTCTCCTCTCCTCTCCCCTCCTCTCCCCTCCTCTCCTCTCCAATCCTCCTGTTGTTGGGTTTGGTGGGCGCCAAATTTCCGCAGGGGCTCTTGAACATTTGACCCTGAGTGTGCTCAGAAGGCGCCCTATGAGACCCTCTCACCATGTGACTTGTGGCGGCGGGGAGCCGAAGAATTCACAATGCATCATGACGTCTCCGCCCTCGGTGACTCTGTACACGACTCCATCGGAGGACAGGATCTGAGGAGCCAGCTCTGACACACACACACACACACACACACACACACACACACACACAGACACAGACACACACACACACACACACACACACACACACAGACACACACACACACACGCACACACACACAGCGTTCATGATCATGTTGGTGTTAAAAG